TAAAAGGGAGAAGGAAAAGACGCAGCAAGCTTCCTGCTAAGCTGGGGTAAAGCTGGAGGTATGGAATTGTTGCCTTCCTTCCTGTACTGCAAGGAGGATAGGGAGCCATATGTGCATAGTGTCCTGGGCCAGAGTCCAAAGGGTCTTTCCCTCCCCTCCCCCCCACTAATCCCCCTCAACCTGAGGCCCTTTCCAGCTCCCTTTTGCCCAGCTGGCAGGACAGAGTGGCAACTCTTTTTGGATACTCACTACAGTGCTTGCTTAGGCGCAAAGGTCCAGCAGCCCTGTCCCAGCTCTTCTACGGCAGCAGCAAGGGAATCACGAGGTCCCAGGGGCCACCCCCCTTGTCTCCTGTGTGGCCCTAACTACACAAAAGCCAGCCCAGCCTACAGCTCTCCTCCACAGCTTGTTCCATGGGGCCCATTAGGGCAGCCTGAAGGCTCAGCATCAGTATGCTGCATGAGACCAGAGTGCTTCTCAGTGGTGCTGTGTGCATCTTGCTGCAGGGAGGAAAGCTGTGGCACCCTTGTAGGCCAGACAGCCAGTGCCTCAGTGATGGCAGGTTGGGAGCCTAGGGCTGCTGCCTTCCAAAAGATGGGCCGTGCTTCTCCTTTACCTGTGGAGCCACACTACAGCCATGCAGCATGGGCAGAGGGGGCAGGAGTGTTGGGAGGGGCTGGCAGAGGGTGCAGTCACAGATAGGGTGCCTGTTGAGGGAAGGATCCTTACAGCCCAATGATGTTACACCTGCAGCAAAAGTTCCGGCGCGTGCGGAAGATGTCAGACGATGAGGACGATGAAGAGGAGGATTATGGGAAGGAAGAGCACGAGAAAGAAGCCATCGCTGAAGAGATCTTCCAGGACGGAGAAGGGGAGGACGGGGGAGAGGCTGCTGAAGCCCCCCTCACTGCCCCCGAAGAGGAGGAAGAGGAGGAGGAAGATGAGTCGGGTATGACTAGCTTTGCACTAAGTGTTTTCACTCCTTGCCTGTGGAGCTTAGGCGGGTGGCAGGGGCCTTGGCTCACTTCTCAGGTGCTCCCCTGCTGTTGGTCTGGCATTGCATATCTCATAGTTTCATGGTAGCTACTGTCAAGAGAGACGTGAACAGATCATTTAGCCTGCCCCCCTGCTACAGGCAGGAATGAATGCTGGGTTCACAAGACCCCAGACAGGTGATCATCCAACCTCCTCTTGAATTTGCTCAAGGTAGGGATGAAGACCACTTCCCTGGGAAGTTGGTTCCAGATTTTGGCCACCCTAACTGTAAAATATTGCCTTCTGATCTCTAACCTAAACCTGTTCTCCATCAGCTTATTACCATTGTTCCTTGTCACCCCAAGTGGTGCTGGGGAGAAAAGGGCTCTACCTATTTGCTGTTGATCTCCCCTGATGAGTTTGTAGGCAGCCACCAGGTCCCCCCTCAGCCTCCTCTTGCTGAGGCTGAGCAGGTTCAGGTCCCTCAGTCTCTCCTTGAAGGGCCTGTCATGCTGCCCTCTCACCAAGCAGGTGGCCCTCCTCTGAACCCTCTCCATGCTGGCCACATCCCTTTTGAAGTGCAGCGCCCAGTACTGGACGCAGTACTCCAACTGCAGCCTGACCAAAGTCACATAGAGGGGGAGCATCACCTCTCTGGACTAGCTTGAGATGCACCTTTGGATGCATGACAAGGTATGGCTGGCCGTGCTGTCTGCGGTCTGGCATTGGCGGCTCATGTTCATCTTGGAGTCAGTAATGTCTCCAAGATCCCTTTCCGCCTCTGCACTCCCTAGCAGTGCTGTTCCTGGTGGACAAGTAGGGTCAGCCTGTGCCTTGAGACAGCCCAAATCCACATGCTGCCTTGATGGCATCTGCTCTCCCCTGCCCTGGGATGGTGCTGCTCCTGGCTGCCAAGGAAGAGAGTGGAGTCCTGGTTTTCAGGGTGTTCCTTAGCACCTGGTGGCACTGCTCCCCTTCGGGTTCCCTGCCGCAAGTACTAGCCCCACATTCTTGCCCCGTGCACAGGTGGCATTCAGACCAACAGGAATTTCCACCCATAACTAACAACCGAAACTGTAAGGCTTGGCCTTTTTCTGGCCCCACTGATTCTGCCCTGGAGCCCTGGGCAAGGTGGGAGCTCTCCTGCCCTGTGTGTACATACACAGCTGGTCAAGGTAGCTGCAGGGTTTAGACTGTCCCTCTGACCAAGATGTCCAGACCATCTCTTGGCCAGTTGTACCTGGTCACCATAGCAATCCGTAGCAGCCGCTTTGTATGGCAAGGCCAAGCTGGGCTCTGGCAGGCACTGACGACATCTCTCTATGTGCAGACATCGATGATTTCATTGTGGACGATGATGGGCAGCCCCTGAAAAAGCCCAAGTGGCGGAAGAAGCTCCCTGGATATACTGATGCGTAAGTGATGGCTGGGGTGGGGGCCCAGTGGTGCGGCTCAGTTCCCTTGGGTCCTGCAGTTTCTTTTTCCTTGTCCCTGCTGCTGCTCCTCAGGAGAGACCAGAGAAAGTCTTGCTGGAATTAAATGGAGGCCTCTGCTTGCAGGTGTATGCAGGCCCCATCTCCCCTCCATCCTGGGGGTTTGCCCCTCCTTGCAGGGGCACCATGCCAGCCCTGAGCTGAGACATTCCTATTGCTCCCCATACTCTGGCTGCAGCCTTCCCGCCTAGACTGTACCACGCCACCCAGGGCACTGTTCCCATTCTCTTCACCCCATACTGGGTTGAGGACACTTTCCCTGCTCCTGCCCAGAGTGGCTTGGAGGTGCAGGTCCTGAATGCCAGTCACCAGGGACAGTGCTGGTGTCTGCAGTAGTCTGGAGGAAGAGTTCCTGACTAAGCACACTGAGCCCCCTCTCCACAGAGTAGGAGAATTGCAGTTCACCTGCTGCATTTCTTCCCCTGCTGACAAGGTGCAGGGGGGGGGAAACTCCCTTTACAGGTGGAGAGTCTCTGCCCTGAAGCCTTGGGCAGCCTAGACAGAGCTGCAATGCTGCTGCTTTTTAGGGAACTGAGAGTGAGCGTCTCCCTTCTGCCAACATTGGGAGCAAAGCAGTCGAGCACATCTTGGCCACCCCTTCCTGCTGCATGTGGCACTTGTGCCCTGAGTGCAACTCAGTTAGCTGTGCACACATCCAGCTAGTTGCTGGGCTGGACACGACACTAAGGCCAGAGCGTGGCTGCCAGGAGCACGCAGCTGGTTGGAGGGGCTCCAGGTAGCTTAGGGCTGAACGAGGTTGTGTTTCTCCTTCCAGGGCTTTGCAGGAAGCTCAAGAGATCTTCGGTGTGGACTTTGATTATGATGAGTTTGAGAAGTACAACGAGTATGACGAGGAGTTGGAGGAGGAGTACGAGTATGAGGATGAGGAGGCCGAAGGGGAGATCCGCGTCCGACCCAAGAAGACCACCAAAAAGCGCATCAGCCGGCGTAGCATCTTCGAGATGTACGAGCCCAGTGAACTAGAGAGCAGCCACCTCACAGACCAGGACAATGAGATCCGCGTAACGGACATGCCCGAGAGGTTCCAGGTGAGGGGGGCAGGGGACTGTGATGCAGCATCTGGCTCGTCTCTTGCTGGAGGCTAGTGGTCGACCCAGGGGTTTTTAGTACAGCTCTTGGCTAGCAGGTCAGGGGCTCCCTTGCTCCTACATAGGGTCCACTGCCCTAGAGAAGGCACAGGGCTCCCACAGCCCCATCCAGACAGCTCCTCCAAAAAAGCAGAACTTCCCCGCTGTCCAAAGCAGATCCTGGTGCTGGTACCGTGCCCCGGTGCTGTAAAGGCAGAGGGAGCCGTGGTGCTCTGGCCAGTGGGGGCCCATGTTGCCCCCCGCAGGCAGGTGCATGGCAGTTTCAGGCTGCCAGCTAGTTGTCCACCTGTCCTCCATGCTGGACACTATTTTAATCCGATATTTGAATGAGAATTGCATGGTGTCTTCTCGTGCTGTGCTGGCCTGGTCCTACAGGACCCAGGACAGGGGTGGGGAGTAGGTTGCGTCCTGATGCTTAGCTCCAGCTCTTCCCTGGGAGTGTTTCCTGTGCTCTGCTCCCACCTTTGCAGTGGCGGCCCTGAGCCTCCCCTGAGCATGCACCTACCTTCTTGGGAGTGGAACGGTTGAAGCAGCCAGGCTGTCAGAGGGGCCCTCAGCTCCTGCGTCAGTGGCGCAGCGTGTGGGAGCTCCATGGGGAGGGCCTTATGGTCATCTGGCTGACCCAGGCTGCTGGGGTTCTGCCAGACATCAGTGGCAAGTGGAGCAGGCCCAGGACTAGAGGAGGTGGCAGAAATGCCAGAATCTGACAGCACACAGTAGAGATGACAAGATTGTGAATGGGGCTGTGATGGGAGCAGGAAAGGGAAAGCATGGGGAGGGTGCGATCGTGGAGGGCTCTTTGAGCCCAGCAGTGCCTCTTGGACACCTCAGGGTTTCCTGCAGGCATTTTGCAGAAGTGCTGCTCAGGTGGGAGCTGGGCCTCAGATCCTGGCATGCCAGCTTTGCAGGGCTGCTCCCAACGTAGCCATTAGCTGCTGGAGGCCAGTCTGCAGAGCACTGCTAAGCCGCATGCTCCTCCATTCACCCTGTTTCCCTCCAGCTGCGCTCCATTCCTGTGAAGAGTGCAGAGGACGATGAGCTGGAGGAAGAAGCTGACTGGATCTACAGGAATGCTTTTGCCACACCTACCATCTCCTTGCAGGTAACAATCCTCTCCCCAGACATTTGGGAACTGCCCACCTGCAGCAGGCTTGGCCTTGGGGATCCTGCTCAGATTGTGCAATGGGGCAGGAAGTAATCATAGAAAATTAGGGTTGCAAGGGACCTCAGAAGATCATCTAGTGCAATCTCCAGGCTAATGGTGACCACAGGCTGCTCTCATGCTCTCGCCTCAGTCAGTACTTCCTCTTAGCTTCCCTTTAAGCCCTATAGGTCTCTGCAAATCAGAGTGCCTGGTATCTGGAGACAACATGCCCCCTTGCCTGGGGCTGTGTCCTGCCAGCAAGGCCCACCTGCTGCTACCCAGAGACAGTGGCTGCAGGAGGCGGTAGACATGTGTTTCTTTCTCAGGAAAGCTGTGATTACTTGGACCGCGGACAGGCTAGCAGCTTCAGCCGCAAGGGGCCCAGCACCATCCAGAAGATCAAGGAAGCCTTGAACTTCATGAGGAATCAGCATTTTGAGGTACCTGCCATTTTGCTTCCACACTGACATGAAGGAGCTGGCCTGGCTTCTCCCTTGGAAGGGGGTGGATTAAGGGAAGGGCTAGAGCTAACAGGATGCTCTCAGAGCCCTGCATACAAGGGGACAGGTTAAAGGGGCTGCTGATTCCCAGGCACTCCCACACTGGGTACAGCCCTGCATGCACTGCAGTATTAAGCTGCTGCTGCTCCTCCACACTTCCTCTGCCATTTCCTCTCAGCCCCTGGCTGCCAGGAGCTGGTGTTTCCTCCATGCCACTGACGGCTCTTTTTTCTGCCCTAGGTCCCCTTCATCGCCTTCTACAGGAAGGAGTACGTGGAGCCAGAGCTGCACATCAATGACCTCTGGAGGGTGTGGCAGTGGGATGAGAAGGTGAGGAGCTGATCCTGAATCACCTCTGGTGCTGATGAGACCTCAGCTCAGCTGCTGCTGGAGGTGTCGCGTTGCTGACACTTGCTTACAGTTCCAGCTGAGTGGGAGCCCAGGAACTGCCCTTGCATGTTGGCAGGAGTGGGGGCTGGCATGGCAAAGGGTCACATTAGGCAGGGGGCTCTGCAAGGGGCACCACACTTACCTCTGTTACTGTGTGCAGTGGACCCAGCTGAAGATCCGCAAGCAGAACCTGACCCGCCTGTTTGAGAAGATGCAGGCCTACCAGTACGAGCAGATCTCCGCTGACCCTGACAAACCCTTGGCGGATGGGATAAGGGCCCTTGATACCACCGACATGGAAAGGTACAGGCCTATGGTCTCTGGTTCTGAAGTGACTTAGTGTGGGTTTGCCTGTCCACAGCAGGATCATTTCACCCAGCAGTGCAGTGGAGCTGCCTCGGTGCGCTGGTTCCCTCTGGAACTGCATGTGCATTCAGGGCAGTGTCCCTGAGCTTTAGATGCAGGCCTGATGTTCTTGGAACCCACTGAGTAACTAAAGGGCCCCTGGGTGACTCCGGGGTCAAAGAGGTCCTCTTGAAAAGGTGTCACTGGCCTTGCTTTCACAAATGCTGCATGCAGGCATTGGGTGCTTCCTCTGCCTAATGAGTCATGGAGCCATTTCCTCATGCCCTGTTCCTGGGGGACTCATGCTGGCTTTGCACACTACAGGCTGAAGGATGTGCAGTCCATGGACGAGCTGAAGGACGTGTATAACCACTTCCTGCTGTACTATGGGCGTGACATCCCCAAGATGCAGAACGCGGCCAAAGCTGCTCGGAAAAAGCAGAAGCGTATCCGGGAGGACGGCGAAGAGGAAGAAGGTTTGTCTCAGGCTTTGGCGGCTTTTATCTCCCCTGATCCTGGGGTGTTTGGAGTGGCTGATTTAGAGGCAGTACTCAAAGGCTGGATGTGATGCGTGCCCCTCTCCCTATACACTTAGCACGTGCCCAGGTCCTTCACCTTTCCTTCTGAAATGAGACTTTGATCTTTCTGGGCTTTCTGTGGATGCCTGAAGTTGTCCACACAGAGACCCTCTTTAGGACCGTGAGAAAGTAGGGCTGGAAGGGACCTCACGAGGTCACATCTATCTAGTCCAGCCCCCTGCTCAAGGCAGAATCCTTCCTGACTAAACCGTCCTAGCCAAGTGTCTTTCCAACTTGGGATGGAGATTGCACAGGTTCTCCTAGACAGCTTGTTCCAGCGCTTGGTCACCATCGTAGTCAGAAAGCCCCTCCTAGTCTCCAGCCTTTGTGAGAGTCTGAGGCCCCGCACCACAGCAGCTTGGCATGGAACAAGCTGCAACTGCCCTGCACTTCGGTCCGGGGTGAGGGATTTCAGCTTCCACTCAAATTAGTTTTGTATTCCAGCGAGCCTGGCCACAGTTCAGCTGCTCTGGTCCTCACTTGCTCTCCATCAGTGCAGCTTGTTTGTAGGCACTGTCATTTCAAACTGTACATCATACGGGAGGCCCTGGAAACCATGAATGCTCCTTGGCCAGCTGCTGTGGGCTCCTGTCACAAGAGTCAGAGCTCCAAGGAGGTGGGAGCTCTTGGCCTGAGGTTCTCCAGCACATGGAGACTTAAAGTTGTGCTGCTCCCCTGCAGGTGAAGGGGAGGACGCAGAGGATGAGGAGCAGAAGGGGCCCGAGTTGAAGCAGGCATCACGCAGGGATATGTACACTATCTGCCAGGCTGCTGGGCTGGGTAAGCATCTCGTTCTTGGGGAAACCACAAGCAGCTTGCTGCGGTCCCAGGGTGAGCCTGCCTGTCTATCTTGCTGTGCCCAGGCTTGGAGGCAGGAGGTTGGATACGATGCCATGTCCTGCAGCAGTTCCTCTCAGTCGGAGGAGCCAGCCGCTCATCTGTGGCACGGGGGTGGGTGGGTTGACCAGCATGTGCTGGGTACCACCCTCCCTGCTTACCCAAGGCATTCTCTGTCCCAGATGGCCTGGCGAAGAAGTTTGGTCTGACACCTGAGCAGTTCGGAGAGAATCTCCGGGACAGTTACCAGCGCCACGAGACAGAGCAGTTTCCTGCAGAGCCCCTGGAACTGGCCAAGGATTATGTGTGCAGGTCAGCGCTGGGGTATCTCTGTGCAGGGCTCTTCAGGGATGTGGCAGGGTCGGGGGGTCAGAATCCACATCGCATCCTGTATTCTTACATCATTATTTTGTTGTTTTCAGTCAATTCCCAAGCCCTGAGGCTGTGCTAGAAGGGGCCCGCTACATGGTGGCTCTGCAGATTGCCCGGGAGCCACTGGTCAGGCAGGTCCTGAGGCAGACTTTCCAGGAAAGGGCCAAAATCAACATTGCACCAACCAAGAAAGGGAAGAAGGTAAGGACAGGAGCACAGAACAGGCAGGGGCTCTGAAAGGGGCCAGCACCTGAGCCTAGAGCCAAGGAGCGACTTGCCCACAGTAAGGGGTGGCAAATGCAATGAACCAGTCTTGTTACACAAACCCTTATGCGGGCCCCCTGCCTGCCTGGGCGCCTGTTCCAGTTCTTCCTTTCTTCCCTGGGCAGGATGTGGACGAGGCCCACTACGCATACTCTTTTAAGTACCTGAAGAACAAGCCAGTGAAGGAGCTGCGGGATGACCAGTTCCTGAAGACGTTCCTGGCTGAGGAGGAGGGGTTCCTGACCATCGACATCAGCATCGACATGAAAGGAGTGGAGGGGTGAGTCCAGGACAGGCTACATCGCTCCCACATAGCACCAGGCAGCCCAGACCTGCATCCCACTGTTACAGCCCCCGCTCTCGCTGCTGGAGGCATGGGATGAGAGGTCCCTTTGGCTGGTGCACAGTCAGCACATCATGCAAAATTCAATTTCCCCAGAGAGCTTCTAACCCATGTCCCCGGCAGCTGGACACAAGGGGCAAGAGACTGAAGCATGAGTGGGAGCAACCCCCAAGATGCACCCTGCCTAGTCCTCCAGGGATGGGGGAGCAGGCCCTGATGGGATATAAGCTAGGCCCTGGCACCAGGGTCTGCAGCACAAAGCTCTGGGTATCTGGATACAGCCTGTGTCACAGGGGGCTGGGCATGGTATGTCCAGAAGCCAGCCATGCAGCTGTCCTGAGCCTTCTCCCCTGTCCCTCAGTTATGGTAGCGACCAGACATATTTTGAGGAAATCAAGCAGTTCTACTACCGGGATGAGTTCAGCCACCAGGTGCAGGAGTGGAACCGCCAGCGCACCATGGCCATTGAGCGCTCCCTCAACCAGTTCCTCTACGTGCAGATGGCTAAGGAGCTGAAGAACAAGTTGCTGGTGGAGGCCAAGGAATATGTCATCAAGGTGAGAGGTGCTCAGGAGCTGTGCCAGCTCCAGTGCCTGTGGCCCTGGCATCTCCACCTGGGGCTTACAGATGTCAGGGGCAGCTCAATAGGGAGCAGGCTATGGGGAGTTTCCTGCCAAGGCGTAAAATGAACAGTGAGAAGGAGCAAGAGGGCAGGAAGAGACAAACAGGTCCATGAGTCAGTTTTATTCTCCCCCAGGGCAGGGAGGAAGAGGAATCCTGCATACAAACCAGGGACCAGTGCCTGGGCCAAGTATGTGCTCAAGAGTTGTGCCAGACCATGCCTGATTCTCTGCACTGGCAGAGCAGGGGGCTCAGCATGCTTTGGGAAAGGCAGATTCCCTGGCTTTGGGCTCAAGTTCCCCAAGACCCTCCAGCTCACTGGGTGCTCTGGGAGCTGCTCCCTGAGAGTTGATTGTGAACCTCTGGAAAGTACCCAGTGCAGCCTGGAGGGAAGGCAGCCATCTGGACAGACTAAGCTAGTCTCCAGACATGTGCCCATCTGCTCTGTCAGTGCTGCTTGGGCTGTTACCTCTACTGCTCAGACTTGTAGCAGCCAGGAAAGCTCTGCAGCAGTGACACCCAAAGACACCCCCTCCCACAATCCAGTCCCCTGGGGACAAGGAACAGGTCCTCACTCCCTTCTTCCCTTCTCCTCCCTGTCAGGCTTGCAGCCGGAAGCTATACAACTGGCTGAAGGTGGCACCGTACCGCCCCGATCAGCAGGTGGAGGAAGACGACGATTTCATGGACGAAAACCAGGGCAAGGGGATTCGGGTGCTGGGCATTGCATTCTCCTCTGCCAGGTAGGGGGAGTAGAGCAGCTCCTGCACCTGTGGCCAGAGCAAGGCCCGTACCAAGGCTCACTAGCACCCATCTGTTTTGCAGGGACCACCCTGTGTTCTGTGCCCTTGTGAATGGAGAGGGCGAGGTCACAGACTTCCTCCGCCTGCCGTACTTCACAAAGAGGAGGAATGCCTGGCGGGAGGAAGAGCGGGAGAGGAAGGTGAGAGGGGCCTCAGTGATGGAGGTGGGCAGCACATGCAGGCTTCAGCGCACAACACTGCGCATGGTCTGGACTGGAGAACAGGAGTGCAGGGCCACCGGGGAGCAGGTCCTTTGGCTGCCAGTGAAGGAGTTTGGGGATCATATCCCTTACGAGCAAGTGGCCTGGGATGTGTGGCGTGAGGAAGGCATGTGTTGTCACAGTCCATCTGGCTGTGCTGGCCCTGTTCTCCCTGCAGAGTCTGCAGCTGTGCATATCAGTGTTCCCAGAGGAGCAGCTGCAACAGCAGGCACAGGGTGCTCTGCACATCCCTCTGCCCTACCATCAGCATAGCCCGGTGGGGATTGTGGGGGTCTTGGCTTCAACTAGTGTCTGTAAATCTGAGCTCTTACTACAGCCACTCCCCTGAGCTGAGCTGCTGTGTCGTCTTGTGGCTTGGGGCAAAGCAGCTGTGCAGGTCACTTGCTGTCCTGGCTAGCAGCATGCACGTGCCCGGCAGGGTTTGTGATGCATGAGCCAGGAGCATCCTGCTTGGTGCATGGCATACAGGTCCTGCCCACCAGCAGTCATGGGAGCTCCACATCTCACTCCTTCTCTTTGCTCCAGGCCCAGGACATTGAAACACTGAAAAAATTCCTTCTCAACAAGAAGCCTCACGTGGTGACGATTGCAGGGGAGAACAGGTCAGAGCGTGCCCCGGGTCCCCTGCTACAGTGCCCAACACCCCTCTCCAATGGCCTCCTGTTGCTCCTGCAGCAGAGCAGAGGGGCTCTGCCAACATTGTTCCTGAAGCGGGGGAGGAGGTTGGCCCTCGGCTCTGAGTACAGTGCCTTCTCACCCCACAGACCATGGGACCTCTCAGTCAGTCCAGACCCACGGGAGCATGCTCCTCCCAACCAGGCAGAGGAGGGCAGCTGGCTGAGCCCTCACCCTGTAGATGAGGTTTCCAGGCCTACCAGGACAGCACCATGCCTCTGTAAGGAAGGTCCCACTGCAGGCTGGAATGAGACTGTCTGGAGACATGCCGGCCCTCCCTGGGCTCACTGGCTGGCTTTAGATCAGTGGTGACAAGGGCATCACGCTGCAGCAGCCAGACTTGCATAGGGGCCATGAGAGGCTAGAGAGCTGACATCCCTGCCAGGTAGACAGCTCAGATCAGCAGGTTCCCTTTAGTGCCCAGCATGGTTCTCCTCTCACCCCCTTGCCTACATCTCCCCAGGGATGCCCAGATGCTGATGGAAGATGTGAAGCGGATCGTGCACGAGCTGGACCAGGGGCAACAGCTGTCCTCCATTGGGGTGGAGCTGGTAGACAACGAGCTGGCTATTCTCTACATGAATAGCAAGAAGTCAGAGGTAACCTACCTGCTGCTGCTGCTGTTTGCCTCAGCAGCCCATGGCCACAGTCACTGCCCTCCCCAGGCTCCTTTCCGGTGGCCTCTGCTTCCCCTGGGAAGACCCATCTCTCTCAGCAGAAGACACATTGGTGCTGTTGGCAGCTACACTTCAGTCTGCCTGGGGCTGGGGCAAGCTGGGCGTTCTGATCGTGTTTCCCTGCGGTCACAGGCACCATGCAACAGGGGTGGGTGCCTAAGGTGCCTGTTGGCACACTGGACAGAGGTCAGCTGCTGTGACTCGGCTGGTATGGGGAGGAACCAGACTGTCCCTGAACGTTCAGTTTCTGGGTGTAGCAGAGCTGGCAGGCATCGTCATTCCTATGACTGGGGACTGCATGGGGCTGGCAGTAGCAATCTGGTGCTGCAGGGAAAGCCTCATGTCCCTCTGCCCTTTTGCAGAACGAGTTCCGGGACTACCCGCCTCTGCTGCGCCAGGCGGTCTCCCTGGCTCGCCGCATTCAGGACCCCCTGATTGAGTTTGCCCAGGTCTGCAGTTCTGATGATGACATCCTGTGCCTGAAACTGCACCCTCTGCAGGTAACTGTCCCACCCGGGCCCTCTGGTCACTCGCAGAAGCCACTGGCTGGTAGTTTAGCAGGAAGGAGAAGGCTCTGGGCTGATCCAACCAGTGCCACAACTCCCTCACTAGCAATCAACAATCGTCTGCTCCCTGCCCTTGGATGGACCAGCCAGGGCTTCTCTAAGACCATCCCTACTCATTGCACCTTGGGGCAATGGCATGTCTCCAGAGAAGCAGATCTAGTTGCATCTGGCACAGTGGGGCCTGTCCTGTGCACCCATCCCTGAGATGAGAACCCCTTTCTGTTGGCAGGAGCATGTGGTGAAGGAGGAGCTGCTGAATGCCCTCTACTGTGAGTTCATCAACCGGGTAAATGAGGTGGGCGTGGATGTCAACCGAGCCATCGCACATCCCCACAGCCAGGCCCTCCTGCAGTATGTCTGTGGCCTGGGGCCACGCAAGGGGACTCACCTGCTGAAGGTAAGGGCTGCGCTGGGTCATCTAGAGCCCATATGGTATTGAAGCCACTATGCGCGAATGAGCTCCAGGCTCCATTCCAGGGCCCAAGCCATGTCCCTTCCTGCTTGTGCTTGTCAGGTAGCAGTGTCTGTGCATGGCTGAGTGTGTGTGCAGATGCACTGCTAGTGACCCTGGGCTGTGTGTGGGCCAGTCCCCACTTCGAGTAAGGAATTGGATCTACTGGTCCTAGTAAGTTCCTGCGGCTGCCGTAGGATCAAGGCATGCTGTACCCTTGCCGCAGGACAACCTTATGCCTTAGGAAGCAGGAGGTGAAAGGCCCAGTGCCCAGCCTCACACTGTGAAGCATGGGTGTCCTGGTGCAGGACGTAGCGTGCCCTGGAGAAGCCTGCTTGTCAGTGGGGCTGGAGCCAGATGAGCCGTAGCTGGCTTAGCTGTGCCACATACTCAGTGTCTGCGGACCCTTTAGTTCAGCCTGGGACCCTTCCAGCTTGCCTTGAGTGTCAGCCTGCCTTCCACAGTCCTGGTGCACGTTGGCAGCCAGAGTAATGTCGCTCTCTTCCCTTAGATCCTGAAACAGAACAACACGCGCCTGGAGAACCGAACTCAGCTGGTCACCATGTGCCACATGGGGCCCAAGGTCTTCATCAACTGTGCTGGGTTCATCAAGATCGACACAGCGTCACTGGGGGACAGGTTAGTATCAGGGCGTGCCCAACACGCTGCGGCGTATGGTGCCTGGGGCCAGCTGGAAAGAACTGTGTGATACAGAGGCCACACACCCAAGAGCGCTGGTGCCACGGGCTTTCAGCCCCAAAGGAGTGACTTTAACAGGGTCTTAGTCTGATTTTTGCCCTCATCAGCTTGACCGATCAGTGTGTGCTCCAGAGCACTGATTCTGCTAGCTCTGCCTTGCGGGTCCTTCGTGGACAAGAAAAGCCGGAGCCAGGAATCATTCTTCCCTGGCATGAACCTTATCCCCTCAGTAACCCACTCAACTATGTTGAGTGCACAGTCCTAGTTGGTGGACTTTAGTTTTAACAGCCCTAAACCCAAGGTAATAGCATGGGACAAGAATCCAGCTGGCTGTTAAACTGGTAGAAGTTTGCCCTGAAACGTAGAGAGCACCAAGTCATTTTCAAGTGAGCAAGCCAAAGGGCAAGGTGGGCAAAAGGGGACAGCTACAAACCAGTTTCTAAATCTATGGCCAGGCACCCTATTCCCTGAGCTCACTGGGAAGGGACTGCACTGCTTCTAATGCTGTGTTATTCATGCTGTTTCTTCCTGTTGCACCTTTGGAAGGGGATTTCTGGGAATGGGGCAACAGTGTGAACCCTTATGCCTGGGTTTCCCACGCTCCCTCCCTGGGAATTCTAGGCTTGCAGCTGTTTGATTGTCTGCAGCCTGCTCTAATTGCTTACTGGCCTCTGGCTGGCAAATGCAGCTCCAGGCTCCCTCAGGGTCCCTGGCTGATGCACCACTTGGCCTCTTCCAGCACGGATTCCTACATTGAGGTCCTGGATGGGTCCAGAGTCCATCCTGAAACCTATGAATGGGCAAGGAAAATGGCCGTGGATGCCCTTGAGTATGATGAATCAGCAGAGGATGCAAATCCCGCTGGAGCTTTGGAAGAGATCCTAGAAAACCCCGAGCGCCTGAAAGACCTGGATCTGGATGCCTTCGCTGAGGAGCTGGAGAGACAGGTCTGTGCTGAGGTTATTGGCCTGGGGGAGGCATGGGGTAGAGCTCCCATCCAGCCTTGGCTTTTCCAGTGCACATGGCCTGGGGCAGTTCTAGCGGGACTGCCACCCCGTGTGAAATAGAAATGTTTGAAACTTGTACATACAGGGCTATGGCGACAAGCACATCACTCTGTATGACATCCGAGCTGAGCTGAGCTGCAGGTACAAGGACCTGAGAACCCCCTACCGCTCTCCGAACACGGAGGAAGTCTTCAACATGCTGACCAAAGAAACCCCAGAGACTTTCTACATCGGTACGTCCTGACTGACCGAGTCTGCGGGGGCAGGCAGCAGGGGTCTCTGAGAGAGTGCAGGGGCTGTAGCTTGCAGTAGTCTGCTGACACCGGGCTCCCCTTGTTAAGGAACCAGTCCATTTGCACGGCCTTTCCCCATGCCACAGCCACCAGTGGTTCGCAAGGGCAAGGCAGTCCTGAGCCGTGCCACTAGCCCCCAGGGAGGCCTGCTTGACAGGACTCCAGGCAGGGTGCTGCCAGCACTAGAGCTCTCTGCGGCAGTTCTGTCCCAGTCTGTAGCTTTCTGCTTCCTTCCACAGGGAAAATGATCATCAGCAACGTGACAGGGATCGCACACAGGCGGCCTCAGGGGGAGAGCTATGACCAGGCGATACGGAACGATGAGACCGGCCTGTGGCAGTGCCCTTTCTGCCAGCAGGACAATTTCCCAGAGCTCAGCGAGGTAACCTGTGTGGCCAGCACATCTCTGGCTGGTGGGCTGCTGCCTGGGGTGCAGCAGCAAGGGGCCTTGCGCAAAGCCTCAGGGCTCCCAGGTAGGAACTGTGTCCATGGCGTATGCAGCAGCCCCATACAGTAGGACTAAAGCCCAGCAGACCCTTGCTGCTTGCTCCTGCTTCCCTAAATCTTAGTGGCTGTAAGGGGGCTTAGTGAGCCTGGAGGGGAGTGAAGCAGCCTGCTGGCTATTCCTTCCCCAGGGCTCCAAGCAAGCTCACGTGGAGCCTGGAATCCTGTTTCTTGGTGACAGGCCCCCACTTTCTCTGTCTAAGACCTGCCCTGGGCTGCCCTCTCTGATGTGCAGCTCTGCCCTGGGCTGTTCTAAAAGCAAGCAGACGCCACACTGGATCCTTTTCCATGGAATCCATTCCTCAACAGTATTGTGCTCTCAAATCTAAAAATGATCAGGCCATCCAGGCTGCAGAGACCTCCAAGCCAGGAGCTAAGTGGTGCAGGAGCACTAGCACTCACTCCCATGGTTCACTTGATAACCATCCTCCCCCCGACTACCACCACTGGCCTGTAGTCTCTGGACTGGCTGCTGCAGGTGGGGAGCTATGGAGTAACCCCCACTTGCCCTGACCCTGCCAGAACCCGCAGCATCCAACTGCCTCATTCTCGGGCTGCCTTTGGAAATGTGTCCCCATGCTGAGTGCCTTGTTCCTTTGCTTGCTGAAGGTGTGGAATCACTTTGACAGCGGCTCCTGCCCTGGCCAGGCAATTGGGGTGAAGACGCGGCTGGACAACGGGGTCACGGGCTTTATACCGACCAAATTCCTCAGTGACAAAGTGGTCAAGCGCCCGGAAGAGAGGGTGAAGGTAGGAGAACGGCGTCACCCCCCCTTCGGCTCTGGCTGGCGTCTCAACAGCTGGCTGGTGATGTGGAGTTCTGTTAATCATGCTGCTCCCTATATATCTTTGTAGCCATTGCATTCACTTGTGGGCCCTAAATCAGGAGCAACCTTGGGTTCTTGTAGCTTCCTTCTCCCAGGCTGCAAATCTCCTCTGGTGCTGGTGGGAACTGTGTGACTCAGCCTGCTGTGCTGCAGGAGGATTTATGGCAGTCTGAATGGGGCCCGGAGCCTGGGAGGCTAGAAGGCATTCCAGCGAAGAGCTGGCCTTTGTCTCAGGCTTTCTAAAGAGCTGCAGCTAACTTCCCCTGACTCGTGGCTGCTCTCCCAGCAGGGCTGTCAGATTGCTGCAACTCCTTCCGAGCGGGAGTGCGGGCTGTTAGCAGTAGAGTCGTGTGAGCAAAAAATCCAGACAGACAGAAGTGCCCATCTTTAGGGCCCCTTGGTCCTGAGTGACCTGCTTGGGTCCACAGCCTCCTTGCGGGCCACTTGGCCAGACCATGTGTAGGTCCGACTCCTCCCAGTCTCTGCAGTGTGCTTGCCCAGCTCTTGCTTATACAAAAGGGTCTTTTTGGCAGGCTGGGAAATCAGCCCCTCCTAGCCCAGCCCTATGGCCTCTGCACAGACTGCCCTGCTGCTTGTCCCTTCGCCCCTGGTTCCAGCTTTGCTGCTGCCACTGCTGGGGCTGTCATCAAAAGACAAGGGAGAACAGTCTGTGCATTTAGCAGCGCTCTGCACAGTCGGTGCCCGGGGACACCGATCTCCAGTGACCCCCCAGTCCCTCACCACCACCGGGGGGTGGGTGCTTGTAACAGTTTCGGAGGGAGAGGAGACTCTGCGGGTTAAGCTGGCCCTTGGCCTGTGTACGTTCGTTGTACCATGTCCAAGTACAGCAACACTACAGCAGGTGGCCCCTGAACCGCAACTGCTGCCTGACCCTGTTTGCCACCCCTGCAGGTGGGAATGACCGTCCATTGCCGGATCATGAAGATCGACATCGAGAAGTTCAGCGCAGACCTGACCTGCAGGACATCCGACCTGATGGATAAGAACAATGAGTGGAAGCTGCCCAAGGACACCTATTATGACTTCGACACGGAGGCCTCTGACCACAAGCAGGAAGAAGACATGAAGAGAAAGCAGCAGCGCACCAGTGAGTCTTCCCTGCCAGGGCTCCTCTGCCATCCTCAGCCTGCATCAGGGAAAAGCAATGCAGTGGGGGTGATGCAGGAGCCTCATGGTGCATCTTGTGTCCCGTAGCTTACATCAAGAGGGTGATCGCCCACCCCTCGTTCCACAACATCAGCTTCAAGCAGGCGGAGAAGATGATGGAAACCATGGACCAAGGGGACGTCATTATCCGCCCCAGCAGCAAAGGGGAGAACCACTTGACAGTCACCTGGAAGGTGAACGACGGTATCTACCAGCACGTGGACATCCGTGAGGAGGGCAAGGAGAACGCCTTCAGCTTGGGCTCTACTCTCTGGATAAACACGGAGGTAAGAGCCAGGCAGAGGCCCATTTCCTGTGCCCCGCTGGCTGACGGGATGTGAGTGCTAATTTGGCACAGTCCTCACAAGGCTCAGCACGGTCCTCGTGCAGGCCAAGGGAGCCATTTGGGACCTCCACAAGGAGCCAGGTAGTTTAGCAGCAATGGGGCAGTTGTGCCCCTGAGCAACAGGAGCAGGTGGGGCACCCTGCTGTGGGCACATTGCTGGCACTGAGTGGGCAGGGTTGGCAGCTGGAAGAACCTGAGCCCAGCTTGAATGAAAGCGGCTTTTTTTTCACCGTGTTTGTTCACAGGAGTTCGAGGACCTGGATGAAATCGTCGCCCGCTACGTCCAGCCGATGGCATCTTTCGCCAGGGATCTACTGAATCACAAGTACTACCAGGACTGCAGTGGCGGAGACAGGAAGGTGAGCCGGTCAGTGGGAGGGACCAAGAAGCTGCATCTGGGCTGGGCTCTCTAGCCTCAAGACAGGTGCTAGCCACAAGTCCTCATTAAGGAAAGGGAGGCTTTACCTGGGCAGGTCCCACAGGGACACTGGGTTAATTGCTTCCCAGCTGCGGACCAAGGGGGGGAGCATAGGCTGGAATAGCACAGCAGTGTTCCCAGGGATGAGTGCAGGGAGAGCCAGAATACCCGAGGGGTCATACCTACTGCCCTCAGACTGCCTTTGGCACAGCCCTCAGTATCTCACTGAGTCTCTCTCTCCTCCTCCTGTATGCAGAAGCTGGAAGAGATGCTGATCAAAACAAAGAAAGAGAAGCCAACTTTCATCCCGTACTTCATCAGTGCCTGCAAAGATCTTCCTGGCAAATTCCTGCTGGGGTACCAACCTCGTGGCAAGCCCAGGTGCGTGGTACAAGCATGCCCGCTGGGTGCAGCCAGTGCTTGGCTTTGGGGGCTGAAGCCTGATGTGTGTCGCCTCAGTGGGCAGGCTTCTGGCCCTGACGGTGTGAAGCAGCACGTGATGTTGTTCCCTCTGCAGGATAGAGTACGTGACAGTAACGCCGGAGGGCTTCCGGTACCGGGGACAGATCTTCCCAACAGTGAACGGACTCTTCCGCTGGTTTAAGGACCACTACCAGGACCCTGTGCCAGGTGACCCCCCAGATCCCCGCGGCTGCAGTCCTGCATGCTCACAGCACGTCCCAGGGAAGGGAGTTGCATTGTGGAGACAGAGCAACAGCGTGGCTCCATTCCCCATTCACGGTGCTGGTCTCAGTCAGTGGAAGTGGGTGTGGTGTCTGCTGGCAGCCTGCTAAGACACACACATTGCAGCAGGCTGTGTGTATGTTTAGTTGCCTCTTAAAACTGCTCAGAAGAGCCCTGGTCACAAACAGTCCCTCTTCCCATGGGTGCACAGAAGCAGTAGCCCCCAACCTGCCTCTGGTGCCATGGGTCCATCGGAGGGAGCTGCCCCGGGGAGGCACAGGTCACCTGTGGGTCAGGCCCCCTTGCAGAGGTTTCAAAGCACTAGCTTGAAGCTTCCCTCATGTAGAAGCACCTCTGAAGAAAGCAGCTGGCAGGGCCTGTTTTGCCCTTCCCATTGTGGCCTCGCATTCACTCCAGCCCTTGCTCCTGGCCTCAGCATGGGATTTGCCCCCAGTGAATGCTCACAAGATCCTTGCTTGCAGCTGCTCAAAATCCCTGGTCGCAATGAACAAACCTGGTGGCAATTCCACCACTGATGCATTTCTTTCTCATCATCTTCTGCCCCAGGGATCACCCCCAGCAGCAGCAGCAGGACCAGGACTCCAGCTTCCATCAATGCTACTCCTGCTAACATCAACTTGGCTGGTGAGTTCTGATCTGTGCTGTCTAACCTGACGTACCATCCCCGCATCCGAGCCAGATTCTCCTCCCTGGGTATTTGCCACCCCTGACACTGGCATCTTCCTTGCAGATCTGACCCGAGCGGTGAATGCCCTGCCTCAGAACATGACGTCACAGATGTTCAGTGCCATTGCCGCAGTGACGGGCCAGGGGCAGAACCCCAACGCTACGCCCGCACAGTGGGCATCCAGCCAGTACGGCTATGGTGGCAGCGGCGGCGGCAGCAGTGCTTACCATGTAGGTGGGGCTGGGGAGCCTGGCTGGGGGAAGCTCCACACACTCTGTGGTCCAGGGATCTCTCTGGCCACTGCAAGGGTGGTGTAGGCCATGGTGTTCTGCCCTGCCGCTGCGGGCGGCCAGCTTGATTCAGCCCTCTGGAGCTGGGGCTGCTGGGAGCACAGCTCCGGCTCCTGAGGAATGTGACCGAAGCGGGGGGGGGGGGCCTGGCAGAGAGATGCGGGGTGAGGGACACAGACCCCCGCAGCTGCTCCACAATGCACTGCTTGGAGCCACCAGCCTGCAGGATTAGCTGTGGAAATATGTGCTGATCCTGCAGGCTAGTGTTAATCTCCAAGACGTAGGTCAGGCGAGCACTTCACCTCCTCTCGGGGACATTGCAGCGAGCAAGAGCTGGGACGGGGCTTTCATTCCAGTGCAGGGCTAAGCAGGTCCCGCACGTGCTGCCTGGCTGTTGTCTCCCCCAGTGACCCCTGTGTAAGCGTGGCTGCAGGGGAGACTTGGCAGGTGGTCGCAAGCAGTGTATCTGCCCCCCCAGATGCCTCCACAGGCATTGGCTGCTGCACAGTTGGCACCCCCAGCTTTGCCCAGCTCCCCTTGTGCCAGACCCTGGGGATACCAAAGAGAAGGGCTGCATCCTCTCCTTAGCTCCCCCTGCTGCTGCAGGCGAGTGGTGGGTGCCTGGCTGGGCCACCTTTCTCTTTGGACTGCTTTGATCTGGGCCCCAAGGGACTGTGGATAAGCCTGGCCTTGGGCTGTCAGGATTTCTGGACCAGCAAGTCCTGCTTCCCAGACTGCTGGGTCCCTCATCTTGGGATCAGGGCAGAGCCTGTCACAGCTGAGCCCCTCTTCCCGGGTCCTGGGCAGGCTGCTCCAGTGCTCATGTAAGCATGTGCACCAGCCCCCTGTGCTGCTAGTATTACCCCTCAGCCAGTGCCCTGCTTAGGGGGCAGTCATGCCTCTGATGCACCCAAGGGCCTGGTGTGCTCTCCTGCCTCACTCCCTGCTCCAGGCATCTTGCCTGGGGAGATTCCCCTGCATTGCCGCCCTTCCTGGGGCGGCACACTGTGGTCTCCTATGTGAGATGCTTGAACGTGTTTGTAAGTCTACGGTTAAACTTTTAGCTGTGGAATCTGCTGAGGGCAGCTGCGTCCTGGTTTTATATTGTGTTCACAACACCCGGGCTGGCCGGTACAGCAGCGCTTTGACCAGCATGACTGGCTTGAGCTGTCGTGGTTCTGTCTACATGGGGGAGAACGCCGTGCCTCGCCCCCAGACTTCTGCACTAGTTGACTCTGTCTGTCCATCCATCCTCTCGCAGGTCTTTACGACTCCGGCGCAGCAGCCAGTGGCCACCCCCCTGATGACCCCCAGTTACTCCTACACTACCCCCAGCCAGCCGATCACAACGCCGCAGTATCATCAGCTCCAGGCCAGCACCACCCCTCAGTCCACGCAGTCGCAGCCGCCGTCGCAGCCCTCATCCAGTTCCAGGCAGCGACAGCAGCCCAAGTGAGTCTCCTGGGGACCTGGTTGGGGGGGGTGGGCCTCAGCGCTTTGACCTGCATTTCACCTGATAGCAGTGCTGTGTGCCAGGGGCTGCCCAAGGGTG